TCTTTTTCTTTTTCTTTTTCTTTCTTTCCCATACCATGAACAAGAATCAAATGGATGAAAACCATTACTAGAAAAAATGATCTGCTATAAAAATGCACAACAGAGATCATTTGCTAGCTATCTAGAAATGGTTTTATATAGAATATACGGATGAAACTAAAAGGAAAAGTAGTTCCTTTTTCATTATTACAATTCCCTGAATGAAAATATTTGTAACTAATGGTGATGTCTGAATTGCTGGCAGATGATAGTATGCTCGAAAAAGTGAGAGTATGCCATTCCTATGCATTTTCATGTCACATGTCCATAGAACTGGTAATTCTGCATAGATCCCTATCTTCTCAAAGTTTATACAAAGTTATATGTTTAAATCATATCTTCTATGGATGTTGTGTGTTTTATAACCCAAAGAGCTCAATTAGTATTTGTAATAACAACAGTATAAGAACAGTACAATCAACAAAGTCTAATTATAATCCATCGTTGATGAAATCAATAAAATCTAACTGCTCCAGTGTCCTACCTTCCTACTCTAGCGAACACCCTTCAGAAGTGGCTCTGATTTCTGCATAATAGAAGCCATGGCACAAACAAACCACAGTAGCCCATCTGCCCATCATTAAAAAATAACATGGTTTAGTGCAGTGTTTTCAGACTTGGCAACTTTAAGGTGTGTGGACTTCAACTCCCAGAATTCCCCAGCCAGCATGCTGGCTAGGGAATTCTGGGAGTTGAAGTCCACACACCTTAAAGTTGCCAAGTTTGAAAAACACTGGTTTAGTATAAGGGAAGATAACTTTCAGTTACTGTTAAACTACAAGTCCCATAATCTTAGCATTGGATTCTTTAATTCAGGCTATTTGGGAGATGCAGTTCAGCAACATCTGAACAGTTGTAGATCTCCAATGCTTTACGGTTTTTGTTTTTGTTTTTTAAGAACTAAGAACTTTGAATTTTCTGGGTAAAATTCTGAGCTTTGAAAACTTTAGCTAGGAAGAAAAATCCCATGGAAAGCACTAGTTTAAAAATAACCCACACCAAACCTTGTTCAAAAAAATTAAACCTCAAGGAAGCAGAAGCTGTTATTATAAGCGATGCATATATAGTCTTCCCAGGACTGTTTTGGGGCCATCAAACGCACAGCCTGGCACAGCCTACCGTTTTCTGACTGCCACCACAGCTTGAGGCGATTTGGGGCGAAAGCAGTGACCACATTTTCAATACGATGGCTGTCAGGATTAAGGGTCTCATGGAACGGATCTCGCGAATCACATGTGAAACATTTTTTGTCCTCCTGAAAAAAACAAGACAAATCAATCTTGCAGCGATTGTTTCTAAGGGCTGGCACTCAAACTCCCACTCTTCTAGAACCCTTCAAGCCCAGGATAATGTCCTACGGACTGGGCCCCCAAATATGGGCAGCCAGTCTAACTTGCTTCTCTTAGAATCCAGAGACAATACCGTCATCCAAGAGAGGTTTTCACAGTCCTTCTCCATCAAATACAACTCTAAGGACCTCCATTCCTGGGTGCTTATCCCAGGTACCTATCCCAGGTACTTATCTGGGTATTTATCCCAGATAAGCAGCAATTAACCCCAGACAAACAATGAAGCAGAAAACAATAAGGAACTACCAAGGAGAAAACCACAACCCCACCAACATTGGCCGGGCACGCTACTGTATATAAAAAGGGAGCAAACCCCACACTCACTAGCACTGATGATGTTACTTAGTTGGGTAATGAAACGTCTGCAAGCAAACCAAGCTCAGGGAGCACCAAGGACTCCACATGAACTTTTGTGGTTGACATCTCCCAAGAATCTTCTAACCAAGCTCATGTTTTCATTTAAACACACACTCATCTTTTACTGTATGCAACTCAGTAAATTTAAGGCTAAAATTAAAAAATGGCCGCATGCTTCCTATAACATCAGTTTCCTGAATGTATTGTATGTGGGTGCTATATCATTTTTTGTACAATGGGTTAACGCCCACTGGCACCAAACAAAGTATATGGCAACATATATTTAGCTGTTGAATTAAATTTCAGTTCTTAAAATTGTAGATCTAAGCATAATGGGCATGTGATCTATTTCCAGGAAGCACTCTCAGAATTAATGCACTGCCGTGCAAGGATGTTAACACAAGTTCCTGGACACTGACACATTTCCTGGCATATTTTTAATGCAACTGTTATTAACTGCTCCACTCTTCCTATATTTTGCTTGGCGATTTCGACCCAGGATGCAAAGGCAAAGTTGCATGATTTTCTCCCAAGCCTGCATGATTGAAAACAACCACACGCCTGCACTCGCTTTCTTTTCCTTTTGTCACTGCTCCCCCCATGCTAAATTTCAGATTGCAAACTCTGGAGACCAGAGAGCTATCTAGCCTCTTCTATTCTGCAAAACAGCATAATCCCAGTTAGAAGTCATGATTATGATCTTCATTGGCTCCAAGAGTTTGTCACTTTTCTCTGCAACTGCTTTCCTCCAACAGACGACTTCCATTTTTGGAAATAGGACTTCTTTCTTTTTATGCTTTACTTACTTGCGCTCATCAGTCATGTTGTTGGACTTGCTGGTACCTTTCTATCCGACAACCTATAAGCTTTGTGAGCAGTTTAGAGCTCTGACTCTCTCCTGAAACATGTATTAATCCCTC